AAATTCTATTACTATTATTATTTCAAGATCTATTTAGTTTTTTTATACTAATCAATCATTTATAATTTATATACTTCCTTTATTTTGTTGTTATTGTTGTTTGTTTGTTTCATTTCCTATCGTTTATTGAATAAATCTAATTGTTGAAAGATTTTGACCTGTGGATTTCAATCCTTAACCGCACACCACACGAATCCCACAATCTATATTCGCGAAATCGAGTCGTTTAGAGGTAAAAGCCGCTCTTTACCTTTTAGCGCTTGTAACTAACTAAACTTAGGTTCTAGGGACGTTACACAAGTACCCCCAAGAAAGAATATGTCCTAAGGACCATTGGAGGTATTCACCAAGTTAATGATGGTAATAAATGGGGTTTTAATAATTTGAAAACATATTCTAAGTCAAATGTCATTACGGGAAACTCTGTTGAGGCTATAAAAGTAAATCAAGGTGCCTCTACTAGTACAGGTCAAATTTCCAAAAATAATCTTTCCTCCAAAATCACTATTTCCCAGCCTGTTAATAGTTTAACAACAAAAAGTTCAAGTAGAGATTCTCTTCATTCAGCCAGCAATTGCAACAAAAATAAGCTTATCACTAGTAAATCTCAGTCAAAAAAACCGATCTTTTCTTCAATCAACAAAAAGGAGAAACAATGATGGATGGTTCTGTCATTGAAAATATCAAATTGCTGTATTGGAATTGTCGTAATATAATTAGCAAGAAAACTGAACTCGAAAAAATAACTTTTTCGTACGATATTATTGTATGTGTTGAGACATGACTCAACACTGATAAAACTTTTACGTTGCCAAGATTTAATATCATTGGAAAAGACAGATCTCAACGGAAGGGTGGTGGTATTGCCATCCTCCTCAAGAAGGGTATCCAGTGGTCCATGTTAAATTCAGTAACAATTGGGGACAACTCTGCTGAATTTCTAGCCATTAAGGTCACACTAGAAGAGCTGAATCTTACCGTCTGTGCCTGCTACAGCCTCCATCTGCTGACCTTGTACAGGACAAGTGGTTTCTTCTTTTACAACAGCTACATTTTCATAGACCATTTATATTGCTTGGTGATTTTAACTGTCACCATGAGGCTTGGAATTGTAGGAGCACCTCTCATGCAGGTGAAATATATTTCTTCAAGCCATCGAAAAGGCTGATTACATGGTCAATAACACCGACACCTTGTCATACCTTGGTCGCTTTGATCAACAAGCGAGTAATATAGATCTTGTCATTTCATCTTGCAGCTTTTCGCACAAGATTTTTACCTCACAACTTAATGACCCCTGGGGTTCAGATCATTTTCCGTTGAATATATGTATCCAGGCAACCCGTATTTATATAAACAGCTAAGGAATAGAATTACTTCTAAACGTATTGATTAGCAGGCTTATTATAATTATCTGGATTCATTCTCATCAATTCTTACTTCTAAGGAGTTCCTTGACCAATCCACCCTGGACCAGTACTTTCATTTCTCTGAAATGATGAAGCATGCAGCTGAACACGCGACTCCATCTTCAAATGGTAACTTTATTTTTAAATCACAAGAATTCCGTCCCATGGTGGGACCAGGATTGTAGTAGAGAGACTCGTCGAAGAAAGGTATGTTTACTTAAGTGGCGTCACACTGGCTCCTTTCAGGACTGGAACTCTTACAGCAGGCAGTGTGCTATAACTAGGAGAACTCTCCGTAAGAAGAAGCGAGAGTTTTCAGAGAATGACTTGTGAGCTGAATCGCAACTCGGATGTTGGTCTTTTTTGGAAACGTATCAAAGTTTTCAAAGATAAATGGACAAACACCTCTTGTCCTTCACAACAGGCTAGTGCTGCAGAATTCCATAAGCATATTGATAAGATAACTCCACCTTGGGCTCCTTGCTCTATTCATGGTAGCTCCTGTAATGCCAATCCGTTCTTTGATAAAGGTTTTACTTTATTTGAACTCAATTCTGCATTGAAGAATATTAATACTAATTCTGCACCTGGACCGGACCGAATTGACTACAACATGATTGTACATCTTCCTCTTATTTGGAAATTATCTCTACTTGATATTATAAATAGCATTTATGAAGATAATCTTTTTCCGGAGCAATGGCAGGATAGCTCCGTCTTTTTCATTCCAAAGCCAAATCAAAAAGGTCTCAGACCCATCACCCTTTCTTCTAACATGTGTAAGCTGCTTGAATGGTTAATCTCTCAGAGATTGATATGGTGGATAGAATCTCAGAATCTTCTCCCGGCTTTCCAATCTGGCTTCCGTAAAGGGAGGTCTACTGCAGACAATATTTTGGCTCTTACTACTCTGGTGCATACAAATCGATTAAAGCACTTTACAACAGCTACAGCTTTCATTGATATGGAATCTGCATTTGATAAAGTATTACCTGATCTACTTATTTCCAAATTGGAATCATTTGGACTTTCTGGGAAACCACTACATTTCATTGTAAACTTATTTACCAATAGAAGGGCTCGTTTCCAAATACGTGATGAGAAAGGATGTCCCCAGGAAGTTATCTGGAAAATGAATATAGGAGTTCCACAAGGTGGTGTTCTCAGTCCACTGCTTTTTATTTTATACATTGCTGGCATTGAGGGAATTTTCGCACAAAATATCAATGTATATTTTTATACAGATGACATTCTTATATGTGCTACAGGTGTGGATATAAGTAGTGCTACTGCTTTGCTAGAAAACGCCATTTATACTGTTAAAAAGAATCTTGAAACAATTGGCCTTGGAATTTTGGCACAAAAAACTAAGTTTCTAATTTTCAATGGTAAAAGTAACCTTTCTGGTTCCGTTGCTATCAGGATTGGTGAGACTACCATATTCAATACAGATACAGTAAAATTTCTAGGAATCAATATGGATCAAAAATTAACTTTTAAGCATCATATTAACGAATTGTGCGCCCACACCCGGAAGCTTATAAACATTATAAAATTCCTTAGGGGAACTTGGTGGGGTGCTCATCCTGATACTCTTTTAACCATACATAAGGGTCTTTTGTAAGAAGAAGAGAATCCAAAGGCTCCTCGAACACGAGGAAATGTGGAACAGGGTGCCTTCTCAATTTCTCCGCCATCTTCGTACTTTGGCGGGCTCAGATGTACTGGAGGAGTTACTGAAAATGTTGTAGGCAAGTAGGCTGCCTACTACCATTCAGTCGGTTCTAGCAGCTCAGGATGGGATGGAGATGGAGAAATCAGCTGCCCTGGCCCATAAAATAGGCGAAATCACGCCTCAAGCTAGGGCGCCATCAGCCGTAGCGTCCATTTCCGACGTCGATCAATTGGTAAAACAGATTGCAGCCTTGGTTACAGCCGAGTTACAAAAGCAGGACGGCAGAGGGCGTTCGCGTTCCTGAAGCGGCGACCGTTCTTACCGACCGAGGTCGAAAGCACGCCTGGACCGCCGTAATGGGTTGTGTTATTTCCATTCGAAGTTTCGCGAGAGGGCGCACCGTTGCTGTGGCGACACCTACTTCCGGCGTAAAAGCGCAGCGGAGAGTGCATTTCCGCGCGTAGTCACATTCTCTCGTGAAACGCTCAGGCGACGTGACGTGTTTTATAATTATTGAGTTTTACGTAAACCTTGCGATTTTCATAGAAGTTTTGTTGTAATTAATTGTTGTTAAATATATCTGTAAAATATAGTTATCCAATTTGAATTCAGTGGACTTATTTACCCCTTTTCTCACGTCGGTAAAGTAGAGTTCCCTATTTGCTGAAGCAGAACTCTACATTGCGTACCCCTGTGGCGACCCCACATTCAACCCACAAGAAGCAAGTACGGGCTTGTGAGAGTAGTGTCTGGTTTTTTTTAAAATTAAGTTGGATTTTGCGTTAAGTTGCGTGTGCATTAATTCTTCTCCTCAAAATTGAGAGCATAGTTTCATTTGAAATTTACATTTTGTGTAAAATTTTAAGAAAATTCAGTGGGAGGTACCTATAGTTTCTAACCTGTTTACCGCAGGCCACGTGGCCAATGGCATCAAGGAAATCGCAATGAATTGTTCTCAAGATTCTTCTGAGAAATGGGAGTCTGTTACACCGAGGAAGAATAGTAAAATTAACTTAACAAGGAAGAAAAATGTTGAATCTTCTGAATCGTTGCCAAAAACTCAGGAAATTGAAGTTATTTTAAAGAAGAAGCAACCTGTCATCTCTAAGAGCAATAATGAGATTAGTGTCTATCCAAAGACGCATATTGGCCCTGCATTTGTTTCTGTCATAATTGAACCAGATTTTCGTAAACGAACAACGAGTCAGAATTTATTATATTTGGCTAAAACCATCCATTCCTTAAAGGTTAGTACCGAGGAGGTTATCCCCTCAGGTAGGGGTAAGGCTGAAGTTAAATTTAAAACTGGGGAGGCAGCAAACAGTTTTGTGTTAAATCCTGTTTGTAAGCAGGAAGGAATTAGGGTTTTTATTCCCTATTTCAGGACCCAGAGAAGAGGTATTTTGAAAAACTTTGATTTGGATCTAAACGTAGAGGATATTATTTCCAATTCTTCATCCCCATGTAAGATTTTGAAGGTCATGAGGTTGAATAGAAGAAAATATGGTGAAAATGGCAAAGTAGAATGGGTTCCCAGTGAATCTGTCCTTATCACTTTTGAGGGTGGTATATTGCCTGATTTCATTAAAGTTTATGGTCTGTATAACATGAAAATTGAGGTTTATATTGAACCTATTAAGGTCTGCTATAAATGTTTTCGATTTGGACATCTAAGTTTTGTAAAAGTCTACCTAGATGTAGATTCTGTGGGTCATCGGAGGAGCACACAGGAGAGGTTTGTAGGCAAGACACCTACTTCCGGCGTAAAAGCGCAGCGGAGAGTGCATTTCCGCGCGTAGTCACATTCTCTCGTGAAACGCTCAGGCGACGTGACGTGTTTTATAATTATTGAGTTTTACGTAAACCTTGCGATTTTCATAGAAGTTTTGTTGTAATTAATTGTTGTTAAATATATCTGTAAAATATAGTTATCCAGTTTGAATTCAGTGGACTTATTTACCCCTTTTCTCACGTCGCTAAAGTAGAGTTCCCTATTTGCTGAAGCAGAACTCTACATTGCGTACCCCTGTGGCGACCCCACATTCAACCCGCAAGAAGCGAGTACGGGCTTGTGAGAGTAGTGTCTGGTTTTTTTTAAAATTAAGTTGGATTTTGCGTTAAGTTGTGTGTGCATTAATTCTTCTCCTCAAAATTGAGAGCATAGTTTCATTTGAAATTTACATTTTGTGTAAAATTGTAAGAAAATTCAGTGGAAGGTACCTATAGTTTCTAACCTGTTTACCGCAGGCCACGTGGCCAATGGCATCAGGGAAATCGCAATGAATTGTTCTCAAGATTCTTCTGAGAAATGGGAGTCTGTTACACCGAGGAAGAATAGTAAAATTAACTTAACAAGGAAGAAAAATGTTGAATCTTCTGAATCGTTGCCAAAAACTCAGGAAATTGAAGTTATTTTAAAGAAGAAGCAACCTGTCATCTCTAAGAGCAATAATGAGATTAGTGTCTATCCAAAGACGCATATTGGCCCTGCATTTGTTTCTGTCATAATTGAACCAGATTTTCGTAAACGAACAACGAGTCAGAATTTATTATATTTGGCTAAAACCACCCATTCCTTAAAGGCTAGTACCGAGGAGGTTATCCCCTCAGGTAGGGGTAAGGCTGAAGTTAAATTTAAAATTGGGGAGGCAGCAAACAGTTTTGTGTTAAATCCTGTTTGTAAGCAGGAAGGAATTAGGGTTTTTATTCCCTATTTCAGGACCCAGAGAAGAGGTATTTTGAAAAACTTTGATTTGGATCTAAACGTAGAGGATATTATTTCCAATTCTTCATCCCCATGTAAGATTTTGAAGGTCATGAGGTTGAATAGAAGAAAATATGGTGAAAATGGCAAAGTAGAATGGGTTCCCAGTGAATCTGTCCTTATCACTTTTGAGGGTGGTATATTGCCTGATTTCATTAAAGTTTATGGTCTGTATAACATGAAAATTGAGGTTTATATTGAACCTATTAAGGTCTGCTATAAATGTTTTCGATTTGGACATCTAAGTTTTGTAAAAGTCTACCTAGATGTAGATTCTGTGGGTCATCGGAGGAGCACACAGAAGAGGTTTGTAGGCAAGACATTAAAATTTGTCTTCATTGTAAAGGTGACCATGTTACGTTAGATTCTTCCTGTAGGGTACTTGCTCCTGAGAAGGAAATTAGTAAAATTAAGGCCTTCAAGAATGTCCCTCATTTGGAAGCCAAAAAGATGGCTATGGGGTGCCTTGGTCTAGTTCAAGGTAATGCTGTTTCTCATTTTCCTGCAGTCACGTCAGAAAACTTCCCTGAGTTGAAGAAGCCGTCACCAGAGAATATTATTACTATTAAATCTTTTGGAGGACAGGAAATCCCTTCCTCTCCAGTATCATCATCATGGAAGAATACTCCTTCTTTCTCTAAGAATCTTACTCACTCTTCAAGAAATTCACCTGTTAATATTAGTGATAAATCTGATATTAAAGTGTCTCATCTAAGTTCAGATAAAATTTGCAAGGATAATTACTCAGCTAAGTCAGTTCCTAAAGTTGCAGTTAAAGTGCTGCATGAAACTTCAGATACAGTATCCAATCGTTCATCTTCATCTATTGCATCCTCCAGTAACAAGAAAGCAGATATTAAGCAATATAAACCTAATTTTCTTAAGAAGAAATAGTAATGGACCAGGATCTTAACATTTTTTTATGGAATTGTAGAAGTATTAAAAACAAAAATGCTGAATTAGAAGTCTTTTCAGTACAATATGATATTATCATTTATACTGAGACATGGCTCAAGCCTGATATTAGGTTTAATATTCCTGGATTTTATTGTCTAAGAAAAGACAGAACAGACCATAGAGGAGAGGTGGTGTGGCTTTTTTTGTCAAAAGAGGTCTGTCCGCCAAACTTTTGAGTAATGTTATCAGTCTTGATGAATTCACTGATATGTGTTCCATTCGGGTAGAAAATTTGAACT